TATTTTAAGTAATTAAATTTCTTTATATGTTGAATTCAATAATTAAGAATTTTAAATTTTAAATTAAAAATCTTAAATTTAAATTTTAAGTTAGGTGAAGAGAAATTTAGAAAAATATAATAATCATATTTTTTTATATAACTTATCATTATTAGATGTATTAAGAAAAAAGAAGATTAGGGTATTTTTTAAGTTAGTTTGTATGTATTTTTTAAGCCATTTAAAGGCACATTGCACATATATTTTAAGTAATTAAATTTCTTTATATGTTGAACTCAATATTTAGAGATTTTTTACAAATAAAAACACAACCTTTTAAAATTTTTTTAATTAAAACTATAATACTTTTACTTTTCTAATTAAAACTACCACTTGAACCGGCCTTCAACCCTAAGTGGTTCACCCCAAACCTTAAAATACTTGAATTAATTGGTCAGGTTTCGAGCTCTCCCCTGACGTCTCGGCAAAATTCCCTTTCCCCAAATTATATACTGTCCAAAAAAAAATTTAAAACTACCACTTTTTCTATTTGAGTCTTGTTGTTTTGGATCTTCATCAGCCCATCTTCCCTTTGGGCCCAAACAGAAATCCTAGTATCCTACTGGAGCAAGATGTTATTCTGATTCGGGTGCAACCCATTAGGAATGAAAACTGGGCCTGTGTGGGTTGGTGGCCCGTCCATTTTAAATAAAGATTAAATGTCATTAGTCCCTTAACTTTAACAGTTTATATAGTTTGAATCCCTCAACTATTTTAAACACATCTTTAGTTCTCAACTCTAAAATATGTATATTTTTTATCATTTTCGTTAATTAATTTATTAAACTTATTTACATATATATATTTTTTATTTTTAAAATTTTCATTTTAAGAACTAAAAGTATATATATTATAAATTTAAAATTTTAAAATATGTATATTTAGAGAATCGTAAATTGATTAACTAATAAAAAAAATTTATTTATTTTTTAAAGTTAAAAGACAAAAGAAAAAAGTGAAAAAATAAATTGAAAGATAAAAGTTATATAAAATCTTAAAATTGAAGATTAAAATTGATATTTAGCCTTTATATAAACAAAGATAGCCTTTTGCCCCAAAGAGGAAAGCGAAAAGGCAAAAAAGGACATTACCAAAAAGTATAAAACGCAAAAAAGGAAAAACAACTGGAGTAGACGATGATTCGATGAACATGGATGATTCACAGTTCCCTCATAAGCTAATAAATAGCTGCAGATGCTGCCATGGAAACAGCAACAATTTCTTTGTAGAATCAGTTCTTCTTTGCGTTCAAGATGAATTCCCTGATTCTTAGAAGCCCCTTCAAACTCGGTGCCTCAAATCATCAAATTCCTCCTTCTAACTCTCTCTCCTGTTTTCCTTCACGGGAAAACCCGAGATTTGCCCACTTCTACCGTAGAAAATGGATTCATATCCACAGACCCTTGAATGTGTTTCGTACCGGAGCTTCTCCAAGGCCTGATTTGATGAGTTACAGCGGGTGGGGCGATGATGGATTGAATGGTGAGCTGGGTAACTGGGGGGAGTCCGGTAACTGGGATGAGTCAACTAAGTCTCGTAATTTCGTTGTTTCTTATGGAATTGGCCATAAAAAGAATCTCTTTATGTTCTTCTTGGGGTTCGCTTGTGCTTGGACCATTTCTAGAGTCAGGGTAAATAAACGTATCATGTTTTCGGCTTATGTTTTGATATTTGTCATTGGGTTTTCATTTGGGTTTATTCGTGGACGTAGCTTTAGTGAAGTTAGTGCTAGTAAAAGAAGGTCAAAAGATGTGTTTGCGAGGGTTTATAGGGAGAAGCTGAGGAATTTGGATGGTTTCTTTGATGGATTTGGTGTTAAAGTTAATAATTTGAGGAGTAGGATACAAGAGGCTATAGATTCTGATAGTGTTGCTGCAGATGATTTGGAAAATTATGTTAATGAAGTGGAATCAATGAGGTTAGAAGCTTCAAATGCTAGAAATGTTTTTGAGGCTTCTATTAATAATGAGGGAAACCCCAACGGTTTCGTGAGTGAGACCCATAAATTGTCTAGTAAAAAAGGGAAGGATAATGGTGAAATTCGGTTTGAGTTCTCACGGTTTCTTGGGAGTTTATTAGGACAAAGATCAGTTGGATCAAAGTCTAATAAACGAAAAGATAACCTGAAGGGCAAGGGTCCAAAGGCTAAGTTAAGTAATCAAACTCGGGGAGATTTTTCAGTTCCTGTTGCCCAGGAAAAGGTGTTTGCTTCAGTTAATAATGGTAAAGGAGTTTCAAACCCTGCATCTGGACAGAATTCCCTGGATAAGTCTGTTTCAGATCAGAATAGAGAAGGCAAAAAAGTGGTGGATTTGGAGGATGGGGAAATGAGGTTGGTGGAACTTGGTGAGAGTAATAAAAAATCAGTTGTTGGTGAGGATTATAATTATGTGAATAAAAGATTGCAGTTTGTTAGTGAATCTGATAGAAGGGAATCCCAATATGTTTTGCTCAATTCTAGGGATTTCAGAGCCAGATTCAAACAAGAGAAAACTGGAGCTCCCTTTGCTCATGAGAAGATTCTCAAGAAATCTGACGAAGCTTTTGGATATTTTGTCGATGAGGAGAAGACTAAGGAGGAGGTACATAGAGAAAGAATGCATTATGAAGATGATTATTTTTTGGCTCAGAATGATCACCTTTGTGAGGGTAAGATTAATTCGTCTACATCATCAAAGTTTGTTGATGATGTTGTATTTGATAAGTATCTTGCAAAGGCTAATGACCTTTTGTCAGAAGCCAGAGAATGTCTACAACGCAAACACAATGACGACCGTGCAGAGCTCATGTTGAAGAGGTGTGCAAAGTTACTCTCAATGGCCATTGCCATGAAGCCCATGAGTTTGTTCGCTATTGGCCTGTTGGGCAATACTTATCTTCTTCATGGAGAGTTGAAGCTGTATGTCAGTCGTAAGCTGAGAACTCTTCTTGCAAGAAGTGATGCCAAAATCTCTGAGCAAGGAGGAAGAGGTCTCGAAAGACTAGATGATGAATTTTCACTTAGAGATGGAATTATATCTGTCCTTTCTCATGTATGTAAAGAGTGTGAAGAACTACTTGTTAAGGCCGGCAAAAAATACAGATTGGCATTGTCAATTGATGGAAATGATGTGAGATCCCTTTATAATTGGGGTCTTGCTCTCTCTTTCCATGCACAATTGATCGCAGATATTGGACCGGTATGGATTCTCCTTGACTGAACTGTACTTTGTTTTCTTACCAAGCACAACCATCCTTTATCAAATAATGATTTTGGATTTCATCTTACACGTTTCAGGAAGCAGCTTCTGATGCCGACCAAGTGTTCTTGGCTGCAATCGATAAATTTGCTGCAGTGATGTCTAGAGGAAACATTTATGCACCTAACGGTATGTATTAAACTAACTTTGGCTAAATCAAGAAATGTCATTTTACAATATTGATATTTGAATGCGTTGTTTGTGCCTCCGATATGATGAGTGAATATGATACATTCCAGGGCAATATTGATTTGTGGTGTGCAAATTGCAGCTCTATACAGATGGGGTTTAGCATTGCAGCAAAGATCTCGTTTGCAGCCAAGTAACAGTAAGGAGGAGATCAAGTTGCTCCAACAGGCTATGACACTTTACCAAGATGCATTAAATCTGGACTCGGAAAATCTCCAAGTTAGACAAGCCTTATCCTCATGTATATCTGAGCTAAAATACAGGGATGTATAGTCATTAAACTGATGTACATGACGATTAGGCTTCTCTTACATTTTTGTCCTTTTGCATTTTTGTCCTAGAGTATTTTAATGTGTCACAAGCAGCTCAATAACAGTATAGATTTGGGAAGAAACAAATCTATCTTATTATTAAACAGCTTCTGACACACAATATTCTAGCCCAAAAATGCAAAAGAGGAGAGAAAATGCAATGACCAATTGCCAACGTTAAAAAAAAGGAGGATAGATTTGGGGAGGAGATGATAGGATTCGACACATTCCATACACATATTTTCTTGTACGAAGCTGTATCATTTTAGAGAAGAAATCAATTTTGACATGAGAATAATAAAACCCAGAAATTCTTTTAGATTCAAACTTTATGCTCCCATTTCAAGTTTTGTTTTATTTTAAAATTTCGGGATCTCCATGAAATGAACACTCAGATCAGACATTACTGAGTAATCATCAAATCATAGAACTATAAAGTTTTTTATTCTCAAAATTTTCTGTTATTATATTTTAGAGGCTGAAAATTGAATTTTTTTCTCTACTGCCCAAAGCAAATACCCTTCATATGTTCCCGGAAAACTTTAATCATCCCGGTAAAGGTAACAATCCCAGCTAAAGTTCCATCCTCTTCAACAACCCACACATAATTTGCACGGTGTGCGAGTGCCTGGATCATGACTGCCACCAATGAGCTCTGCGGGTAGCACACATTTGCCTCTGATCTCCTCCCCACCCTTGCTGCATACCCTCTCAATCTCCCACTCTTCCCCATGCCAACTTCATCATCAGATGAGGATGAGTATGATGAAAATGAATCTTCCTCCATCAACTCCAAAGCAGGCTCCAAATTCGTCTTCAGCAATCTGTCTTTCACAACCTGAACTAGGTCCTCAGGCGGTCCACCACAGTCAATATACGCCATTACATTCCCAGCTGAGAGCGTCATGATGGCTGCAGCAACAGACTCATCACATGCATTCAGCGCTAAAGGTGAGATTTCACCAATCAATTTCCCATCCAAGTCCACCACAGCCACAGAGGTTTGTGTCATGAGGGACTGAGCAATGAATGGTAACGCCGATGCCTCAGGAGCATGATAGTGGACGGTGATGACATTGGTGTCAATGATGCCCAGAGCATTGATTGGGTTGACGGAGGTGGGGCAGAAGTGACCGATGGAATTGAGAAGGTAACGAATTATGTCCTCTTGAGTGAGCCAGCAGAATTCTTGATTCTTGTGGAGGGTTGAATTGGAGGAAGATTTGTGGAGGAGCTTCTTCCTTGAATTTCTTGTCCCCGAGCCAAGTGGTATTACAATATTTTGTGCTCCTTCCAAAATCAAATCAATAGCCTCCACCAAGCTGAGATATTTTACAATAGATATTAGAAAACAAACAAAATGAATGAAATTCTTCTTCGATTACCACAAAATTAGCCAAACAACCTATGAAATTAGCCAAACAACCTATGAAAAATTCTCCAGGATATGTTTGATTTAAATGTTAAAAATAAATTTATAATGATTGATATCTACTACTTAATCCAAATCAAAACATAAAAATTTATTTAATAAACTAATAAAATCAATTAAATCAAATATATCGCAAATAATTAGATAATAATTCAAACAGCTGATGAACAGAGGATTTTTTTTTTTTTTTTTTTGAGATTTTTTTTTTTTTTTTTTTGAGATTGGAGAAAATTAGTAGGTTTTGTCTTTGATTTTCAATTTTTATTCTCTTTTTAATTTGTTGAAGATAAAAATTGAATCACCATAGTCATATAATTCTAAATCATAAACTAGAAATTTCTAAAGAAAAGAAAGAAAAAATGAATTACACATACCTTGCGTTTGGTTCCAGATGCCTAACAAGCTTTGGAGATTTAGGAATCAAAACGGAAAGCGGAGATTGAAGTGCAGATCCAGGATTCGTGAGGTTTTCCTCCTTGCACAAGAAGCAAATCACATCCGCAAGGCAAACCTTGCCGATGCAGCGACAATCGTCGACGATACCGGCGGCGGCGACGGCGACGGCGACGGCGACGGCGGCACCGTTGTTCGCTCCTTCCAGGCTATGATTACAGCTCCATACACTGAGGTAGGTATCGCCGGATCTCTTAAGCGCGGACAAGGCGTCGGCCACCGTGTCGGAAACGGAGAGGGACCTCAAGGCAGGCTTGCCAAGACATAGATCAGACAACTCATTCCCCAATAGACTTCTGGCCATACACAACAAAGCACTCAGGGGAATGAATTCCCTAAGACAGAAATGTCTAGCGAAGGAAAAAAAAAAAGAAGAGGGATTGCGATAAAAAGGTGATCGGAGAAGAAGACCGGTTTGTGGAGATATTACAGGGCCGTTTTGGGATATTTATAGGTGGTTAGGTGTGGCCATAGAATTTTTAAATTTTAATTTGATGGATTTGTTAAAAAAAAAAAGAGTAAAACTATGATTGTTTACCAAAAAAAATAAAATTTATTATGATTATATGTGAATCTAAATTATCTAATTATAGCAAGTATAAAATTTAGGATAAATATAGAAAAAAAAAACCATCAATTATGAAAATTAATAATTTTTTATTCATTGAATCAAATGCCTCATTTCCTCTGTTTACCTCTCTTCTAAAAAGCGAGATTCAAACTCTCATTTTCCTTTTTTCACTTTTCTCTCGATCTTTCTCTTACTTAGTTTTTTTTTTTTAAAATTTAATTAGTTAACTTGTCTCATAAAACAATAAATGATTAGTTTAAGGTTCATTTAAAAAAAAGTTTATTACTAATTGTGTTTAAACATTTTTACAAGCTAATTTTAATTTATAGAGGATGAAAAAGAAAAAGAAAATGATCACTAGTTAAGGGTTTTTTTTTTTTTTTTGTGGGGTAAATGATTCAATGAGTTGTATGAATTCAAATCTTTTAGGTTGATGATTTTCGTGTGACTCTCATCCTGAGTCCATGTGTGATAATAATAAAAAATTTTATAATTTTTTTAACATTTCTTGATGATTTTATACTAAAAGATAATTATTTTATGTAAAAAAATTTTCTCCTTTCAATACAACATTCAAATTTAAAATGTTTACTTAAAATTATATGCTTTTAAACTAAATGACT